CAGTCTGACTCCAGAGCCCAGCTCTTAAACCACTTTGCTAAGCTACAGAGAGGTCGGTTGTCCAGATTATGGAGTGTCTAGACAATCTCTCAGCCAGTAAGAGTGCTAATATGCTAGAAAAGAAAATTATCAACAAGGTTTTGATCTAACTATGATAACTAAAAGTAGGTACACATTTTATGTCCCTATAAATACCAAGCGCCAAGTCTTGTCATTTTTGCTCCTCCACTCATAGTCCCTAACACATTCCCTTTCATAATACAGCTCTTCAATGTAGGATGGTTATTCAATGTACTCTCAAGAGAGAACTAGCAACTATTCACTCTCCATGCAAAATAACGTATTAGATGTTCTTTCACAAGAAATACATATATACATCAAATCTTGGAGGTAAGCACTTCCTTTAGGGGATCAGATCCATATCAAAGTCAGATAACCTGTTCTATTGTTTTTTGAAAGGTCTCAAGAGAAATGATCCCACAATCTGTTCCACTGTCTCTTTCCATCTCAAATAAATACTGACGCTGGAAAATTCTACCTTAATTTACTTTTAATACTTAAACAAGCTTTCTGAAGTTTAGGACCATTTCCTCAGGTCCCTCTAGACTTTGTCCTCCATGAAAGTAAAAAATAAACATAATCCCAGACAATCATGCTTTATTTTCCTTCAGCTATTCTTTTCTAATTGCTTAAGGTATTCATGTTCCTCAACAGAAGTCAGGTTTCAGAACTCAGTATTCCAGTCTTATACACACCGACTATAATGAAAGAATTAGTCTTTGATGATACTAATCAGAACACCTTGAAAGATACAGAACTACAAATAAGCCAACACAATTCACTAAATGCTTGAACAAATTAATTTCCTGATTTCACTGCCCAATCTTCCATTTTTTTCCTGTCAGCTTTCATAGAGACTCTGTTTACATAAACTACCATGTGAATGGCTCTGGAGCTTAGCAACATTGCAGCCTCTGCTTCATGAGGAATGGCTTCCAAACACACACAGATAAAATCAGTATCAACATTTCCAAAGCATGTTCTCTACAAGACACTAATTCTAAGGACAAGCACTATGTATTACAAAGAAAAAGAATCCCACGGTCAAGTAGTTAGGAGTTTGCTGGATTAAGCAACACTTAACAGGTTTCTTTACCGTATGACTTCTCAATCTTCAGTATACTCCTAGTAATGCTTTCCCTGGAGCATCCCCACCACATTTTGAAATGCCTACGAAGTCCTGTCCAAAATAAAAGATGATTCCAAGGCCCCAAGTCTTAGCAAACTATCAACAACTGGAGCTTTGGACAAAAGTGGGATACAAGGAAAGGCCCATTTGGAAGTAGATGTAGTCTGTGAAGAGATCAGGTAGACAATGGGCTTATAGAGCTCAGGAGGAAGCACAAGCTGGAGACATCTGGGAGTAGTTCACAGGGATCAAGCTGAAGTCATGAGACTAGACAAGATACTTCCTTAGATACACAGTAATAAGACTGGTCTTTGAAACATCCTTGCCTTAGTCCATCCAGTTTTAGTATCTTCTGCTTCTCTCCAGCAATAAATCTAGAAAAACATCAAGACATGGGGTAGGAATAAGGCAAATCCAACTGAAAAACTGCCTGTTAAATACCAGCACAATGCGTGTGAAAATCCTATTAATGTTGATAGATGTTGATTATGTGACCTGGTATAGAACTACCGAATTTCTCCAAGAGAACTCTTTGAAATGACAAACCTAGAGATGATTCATTCTTTTTTTTGGTAAATGTAATGAATGCTATAAGGCCATTTCCACAGAAAAAAACACACACACAATATTAAACCTATTAATTTCAGAGGGCTTCACGGGCCTCCTGAGGCCCAACCACTGAGCTCTCTAGTTGTCAACTCCTAGGTCCCTAAGTAATCCCGGCTACAGACTTCATCTCACAGATGAAGGCCACAGAGTTACAGGACATTTAAAAGTATGACTTTTTTAAAAACTGTATTTTCCATGTACTTTAAGATAGTGCAGAGAAAATGTATACTTGTACTTTTTGGCCTTGAAAACATGAAAACTTACTGGTTGAGTAAAACTCAAGTCATTTATCTAACACCATAAACAGAAGGGCATACAATGATAATAACACCTTCACAACAAAACAGCTGAGAGGCCACATAGCTAATAAATTCCAGATCTTCCATATTCTACTTCAGTGCTTTTTAACTAAACCATGTCACCTTAAATAAACATATTATTACACTGGGTAGGATACAGTTTTTAAAATAAAAATTCCTTGAAACACCCACCTTCTAAGAGTGACTATAAATAATTAGGTCTCTAACTTACTTACTTAATCTGATCATTCCATTTTTAGCACCTAAACACAAATTAAGGAGCAAATTATACATACTGGCTTTTGAAAACAAACCCTCTAATGCACTCCTCTCTAATCAACACAATTTGTATAAATAAGAAAAATCTAAAACAGCAGAACAAATACAAAAAAACCGTTATCTTTATACTCATGATTACAGACAAAAATACAAACAGCTTAAGCTTTGGGTTATTTAGCAAGCAGGGGGTATGATGCCAAAACCACATGGAGTTTCTCGGCTTTGGGCCCCTGGTATGGGAAGAGGCTGGCAGGCGGGGATCAGCATCTATTATCTGATGTCCATTTGGCAGACTCTACAAAAACAATGAGGCCTGGCTGCACAGCAGGAGTTAGGTATTCCAACTACTGCTTAAAGATCCACTCTAACACAGACTATGGCTACAACTCACATGCTGAACTAAAGGTGTGCCTTAATTTCTGCCCTGGAAATTCAGTCATACGTTATATGCCCATATCCTATCTTTATAGAAGCCGTAGTGCTATTGTTAAGAATGCAGTCTCTGGGCGCCTGGGTAGCTCAGCCAGTTAAGCCTCCGACTTCAGCATCAGGTCATGATCTCAGAGCCCTGGGACTGAGTCCACATGGGGCTCCCCTCTCAGCAGGGAGTCTGCTTGTTCCTCTTCCTCTCCACCTCCCCCTGCTCGTGGTCTCTCTCAAACAAATAAAATAAAATTTAAAAAGAATGCAGTCTCTAAAGGGTAAGGTTCAAATTGTGGCTTTGCCACTTACCAACTTTAGCAAGTTACTACAACTTCCTTGTGCCTCAATTTCCTCAAATGCAAAATGGAGTTAATAATAGCTCCTATTTCATGGAGTCGCTGTAAGGACTAAGTAAATGAATACATGGAAAAATCTTAGAGCAGTGCCTAGCAAATAATAAGCACTCCATAAATGTTAGTTCTCATTATTATTACTTTAAACAGATGACAAGAGTAATCGACTTACACCTGTATAGCACTTAGATGTACTTAGGAAATTACAGGCCTTAATTTTTTTTACTTTTTAATCATGTGGCTTAACTACCAGCTGTTTTTTCTAAATATAGTAAATACACAGCCAATTATTTTTGTAAAGAACTCGGAAAGAACTTACTATACACACTGCCACCTAGGATTTACACACTAGTAAAGTTTTAACTTTTCATCTGAATATAACTAGACTCCCCTAACACTTCTAATGTCCTTGGATCCATTCACTTCAACTTTCATAATCACCACCAATTCCAAAACACAGCAATGGTTATTCTTACCTGGACTACTGTAATGGCTGCCTAACTGTTCTTTCCCCTCCAATCTACACTGCAGTACAGTTAGATCTTTTTTTTTTTTTAAAGATTTTATTTATTTATTTGAGAGAGAGAATGAGACAGAGAGAGAGAGAGCATGAGATGGGGGAGGATCAGAGGGAGAAGCAGACTCCCTGCTGAGCAGGGAGCCCGATGCGGGACTTGATCCCGGGACTCCAGGATCATGACCTGAGCCAAAGGCAGTCGCCCAACCAACTGAGCCACCCAGGCGCCCACAGGTAGATCTTTTAAATCTAATTTTACTCCTCTACATAAAACCCTACAATGGCTCCCCATTGGCCTAAAGAAAAACCTGTCCTCCTCAAAGACCTAAGAGGCCTGTATGATCTAGGGCCATTCTCTTTCTCTGGCTGCTCAAGCCACTGAGGCCTTTCAAATCCTTACCGCTGTTCTTTGGGGCCTCACAGCCTTCACAGATTATGCTCCCTCTATCTGGCATAATCTTCTCTCCCCACTGCCTCTGACTCCCAAAAGGAGATCAGGTCCTCCTGTTACATGCTCTCATAACCCTAATCCTAATCCTCTTTTCTCCTGGGCAGCACAAAATAAAATTGCAGTAAGATAACCTAAGTGGTGTTTAGTGTTCCTCTTGCGCCCCCCAAAATATAAACTCCAAGTAAGACTCAGGAATATGTCTACCTTTTTTCCTGCTACAACCCAAGTGCTTAGATGTCCAGTACCTTATACTAATAGGTGTACACAAAACAGCCGTGTTATCTTATGGGAAAACCTGAGGAGACAAATGATGACAGACAGCAAATCATCCACAAAACAAGACTAATGCAGAATCCTGGCTGCACTGTGAGTCACCATCCGTGTTACACTCAAGTAAAAGCAAAAACCTACTGCTTAAACATGGGCAAAAAGTTTAGGTGTTAGAACGAAACTTTCCAAAGTAAAATTAAGTTTCTCTGTGCATCCTCAGATGTTACGTGAAACAGGAGGCGTTCCACCTCAGTCACCAGTAAGAAGATACACACTAAATCAAGACCGCTGCCACATTTGGCACTATCCGCTTCTTGGCAGTCTCTGCGAGGCCAAGAGTTGAGCCGGCCAGGGAAGAGTGATCTATCTCCCACATTTAGAAGGGGTCCCTCTACAACTGAATGCTGAACTACTAATGGACTTTGAATTCTAACCTCATCAAACCAGTACCTTTACTGAGTATTCTCAATTCACTTAAAAAAAAAAAAAGGCTGAATTGTATGTGTCACTGACAAAAGCAAGTTTAATGAGACAGAGGAGAAAACAAAGTTGCCTTTTCCTCCAAAACAGGAAAAAAAAATTACACTAACTAGATTTCTTTTCCAAACCAAAGTCATTATTCGGAAAATTAAAAGAAGATGGTACGCGGATGCTGAGAGGCGAAAGGCTGGGGGGCTGTGGGTGGAGGCTGCCCAGTGTCGTACCGACCGCCGGGCCCGGTGGGCAGCAGTGCCAAACCTACATCGGGCCGTGCCAGGTCCGTCTGACGGACACAGGTTTGACATACGCCAAACCCCCGCCGTCTGGTTCGTCGCACTGACCCTGCCCAATGCAACAAACAGCCAGACCCTCTCCGCGCGTCCAGCCCTTCCCGGGCACCGCGCGTCCGAGGGGCGCGCTCAGGTAAGGGCTCCGAGGTCTCGGGGTTACCCGTTCGGCCCTTTGTTCGCTCCAAGGCAGCGGAGCCCCGGGCGCCCGCTCCTCCTCCTCCTCCTCCTCCTCCCGCACAGCTCCCGGGCGCCCGCGTCTCCCGCGGAGGGGCAGCGCGGACGCGGGCGCCCAGACGGCGGCGGCGCCCCCCGCCCTCCCCGCGGCGGGTCCCGACCCCCGCGGCCTCGGCGGCGCACGGCCCCTCGCCCTCACCTTGTAGACGTCGCCGTAGGTGCCGCTGCCGATGCGCTGAATCAGCTCGAAGTCCTCCTGCGGATTCCGGCGGGACAGATCGAAGCCGGGGTTCATGGCGGGCCCCGGGTGCCCCCCGCCTCCCTCCCGGGCAGGGGAGGGGGGGCGCTCAGGGGGCCACACGGAGAGTGGGAGCCGCGGCCGGCTCCCCGCTCCCCCGGCGGTCACAATCACCCGGCTCCACGCTGCGGCCGCCGCCGCCGCTCCTCTCACGCCGCCGCCGCCGCCGCCCGGGCTAACCGTCCCCGCCCCCGCAGCCCGCCGGCCGCCGCCGCGCCGAACCCGGGTCACACCCACAAGGAGAGGAGAACGCTCGCAGCCCCTCGCTCGGGGTGCAACTCCAACATGGCTTCCGCCTTCGCCGCTCCTCCCCCTCCCCTTACTCCGGCTCCTCCACCCTCCTCCCCCTTTTCCCGGCTCCGGCCCGACTGCGCAGCCGCGATCCCGGAGGGAGAGCTCTTCGGCCCCGCGCGCGTGCGGCCCCGTGCGCGCTCCGGCTCCGCGCGCCTGCCGGGCGTGGGCGGGCGGTCCCGCAGCCCCGGACCCCGAACTGGCGCCGCGTTCCCGGGCCGCCGGCCCGCGCTTGAGAGCGGCCAAGCCTTGCTGGGAAGGCGTGACTGCCCCGGGGGCCGTAGGGGGGTCCAGGGGGTCTGGGGGTGAGGGGAGAAGGTAGCTCGTATTCGCTTCTGACTCCCCGAACGGCAAAGTTTGACGCTGCTGTATCACGTCCCAACCCTAAGCAGGCGGTATAGTTTTAATTTGCAAGACAGCCAGTGGCCCCAACTTATTTTTAGAAGCACCTACACATAGGACACAGCCGAGTACCAGAGACTTTTCTGGGACTGCGGGGAGGGGGTGGCCCTGAGGAAAGCCCCTGAGAAAAGCGAGCCGTGCTAGCTTTGATACCGGCCACTCGTGGCCCTTGGAGCTGGCCTGCCGGGGTGCAAAAGAGGGCAGGCCTGGAGGGCTACCAGGAGGCGTGTGGAGTGGGTAGGGCGTGGGAAGCTCTGGCGGGAAAAACACGCTGAGCGGCGCCCACCAGCCCGAGTGGAGGGCGTGGGAAGCAGGCAGAGTCTAGAACTGAGCAGTGATTGACCTCCAGAGACGCGGGATTATCAAAGACCCGGGCGGGGACAGTGCAAGCTGTGGAGCAACCTTGCAAAGGAGAGGTGGTGGAGGGTGGAGCGTGAACAAGATCCATCCTGCACCTGAGACGTAAACACATGATGTGGCGGAAGCTCTTTAGTTTACCTACCCAAAGCCCCACCCTGCGTGAGACCCAGATTGTGAGCATTACGTCCGATCTATGTGGACACCAGTCAACTGTTAATACCTGTCCAAGAAAACATGTGGAGGGTTAATTTTCTGTTCTCCATAAACTGCCCGCTAGGCATTTCCAAAAGCTTTAATCAAGTAGGTGATGTCCACTTGGACGATAGCACCTTGAGTTTTGCTTCAGAAATGCCTTCCTAATATCCACAGGCACCACACCTTCTGACCACTAGTGCTCCCTAATGCCTGGTGGCTCCTGAGAAACTAGGTCTTATCAAACTTAAGGATAAAATAAGTATAATCAAATAATAAGCAACTTATAGTTAACTGCTTTATACATTTTTATCTTTTCAATCCTTTTGCCTACAGTAAGATTGCATATTTATTAAGTTCTCAAAGAAGTTGTTTTTCTGAGTATCTATTGACTAGAAGATGTTGGAAAATGACCATCTCTTCGCCTATACGAGTAGCCTCCAGTTGTCTAATTTTGAATTAAAGCATCAGTAATATGTGCATATCACATAAATTACTGCCATGTGAGTGCTTATCACTGGATTTCTTCTAGCTAGATCTCACCTTAAGGCTCTGGTATCTTGAGAATTAAACTCCTGAATATAAATGTTATTCCGTTCCTGCTTTTGCCTGTTTAGGGCACTTGCTGGGGACCCAGACTGCAGGCCTTACTTGCCCACATTTGGAGAATTGTTTGGCCTCTTTAAACCAAACATGAGAATAATTAGTCCAGGATTCAGATAGCAGACCTAATAAACTATCCCAAATAGGAATGAGTTCTGCTCTTTCTCTGCCTTTTTAATTCTGGAAAGCCAAATTCTCAGCACTGTTTTGTTTGCTAGGATTATCATCTGTGCAGATAACTTTACATTTGCATCACTAATAGACTTCTTTCAAAGGGAAAAGACATTTCAGTAGGGCTCAAATGGTCTTTAAGGTTTTGTTTGTTCGATTTTGGCAGGACCAAGCTATTCCTTTTGAAAAAGGATTGATTTTCATGTAAGGGCCTGGTTTGCCATATGGGTTACAGCATAAATAAAAGGGCTTTTGCAATTAACTGCTCACAAAGAATAAAATATTTTGTTCTTTGTAATATATACATGCAGATGCCAAATCCGATGTCTTTGTTTCTCCTCTTCCAATGCTCCTCAACTTCGCTAGAAGTAACACTAATGATCACACTTCTTTGAATCCGAGAAATAGCTTCCCTCTTCTATGATTAGAAGCATCCTTAGAAGTCATCTAATCTTTTCAGTTCAAGAACTGCTTCTACAGCATCTCTCCTGAATTTATTGCTACTTGAATACCTTTCTTCCAAAAGCACTGCTTCCAAGAGCAACCCACCGCATTATGAGATAGTGCTAGTGAGTGATCGTAATAACAATAATAAAAACAATAGTAATATCTAACATCACCAAGTGCCTACAAGGTGCCAGGAACTGAGCCAAGTACTTTCCATGTGTTACCTCATTTAATTCTCACAACTTGATGACATAGGTATTATTATCATAATTTTTTGAGGTACAGGCAGATTAAGCTGGCTCAAAGTAAAAGAAAGCTGAAATTTGAACAGAGGTAAGACACAAAGGCCAGATACTTTTTTTTTTAAGATTTTTTAATTTATTTATTAGAGAGAGCGAGCGAGAGAGCACAAGGGGGGAGGGGCAGAGGGAGATGCAGGGAGCCTGCTGCAGAGCTCAATCCCAGGACCCTGAGATCATGACCTGAGCCCAAGGCATCCGCTTAACTGACTGAGCCACCCAGGTGCCCCAGAAGGCCAGACTCTTAACCCCTAATCTATATTCTGCTTTGTAGTATACTTTTTAAATTTTCTCTTATGCAGGGGTGCCTGGGTGGCTCAGTCGGTTAAGCATCTGCCTCCAGCTCAGGTCATGATCCCAGGGTACTGGGATCCAGCGCCACATTGGGCTCCCTGCTCAGTGGGGAGTCTGCTTCTCCTCTGCCCCTCCTCCCTGCTTGTGTGCTCTCTCTCCCTCTCTATCTCAAATAAATAAATAAAATCTTTTAAAAAAATAAAATTTCTCTTATGCTAAGCCAAAATCTGCCTCCTTGCCACGCATTTAGAGTCAACGATTGTTAGATTCTAACAGTATAGAATACAGAGAAGAAAACCACAGTGTCTGTCATCAGGGAGTTTACAGTCTCACAAAACTGTGAGAAGCACAGAAAAGGGGCAGGAAAGCAGACAGGAAGATACAGGGAGGTTGCTAAAGCTAAATCTTAAAGAATGTGTTGGAATTAGCCAGACAAATGAAGGGGAGGTTGTATACTCCAGGCTGGCCACGTAGCCCTAGCCCTTTAAAGCACCCACCCATGTAAGCATCACACTGTAGGGAGCGGGTAAAGGCTAAGATGGACAGTATATCCAGACCACCCTTCTCTTAGCCCATTCTTCATGGGTCTGTGGCTTAGGGTTTCTTTAGTCTCTGTACCAGCTCTCAGTTTTAGCCTCAGGACTTCTTGTCTAACCACCCATTGGATCCACTTTGGCTTACTGACTTCATAATCACCACTCACATTTCAGTATGCCAACAGCTCTGGGAAAGGAATACTGAGCAAGCCTTAGCTCAAAAAAGACCCTACAACCAGGCCATCCACCAGAGGAAGAGAATCAGACCCAGACATATGTGAAACAATAACAGAGTTCCAGGATGTTACACAGCCTAGCCTAGCACAGCTCTGAGCCAGGCTACATGGATTCATATCTCGTCTCTCTGTCCCCTACTGAACGACCTTAGGAAGTTATTTCAAAATGGGGCTCTTATGGAGTCAAAACTAAAATACGTGTAAAGGGATGCCTGGGTAGCTCAGGTGGTTAAGCATCCAACTCTTGGTTTCAGCTCAGGTCATGATCTCATGGGTTGTGGGATCAAGCCCTTTTGTCAGGCTCTGCCCTCAGCAGGAAGTCGGCTTGAGAATCTCTCCCTCTGCCCCTCCCCCTCTCCTGTTCTCTTTCCCTCTCTCTCAAATAAATAAATCTTTAAAAATAAATAAATAAAATACATGTTAAAGTCAGCAGTGCCTAGACCACAACAAGCCCACAAAGTATTAATTACTATTATTTTGAGTATATTTTAGAATTTTTTTTAACTTATTTTGGTGTAACTATTTTTTTAGTGTTATATTGGTTTTAGGTGTACAATATAGTGATTCAACCATTCCATACATCACTCGATGCTCATCACAAGTATACTCCTTACCCCATCACCTATTTAACCCAATCTCCCACCCCCCTATTTTAGAATGTTTTAAAGGGTGACAGTCATGGGGATGGGAATAGAGATATTATTTAGGAAACAAATGCAATAACATATATAAGAGAACCTGATTTAAGGCCAGGGATGCTGAGGACAGAGAAAAGAGAAAGAACACAAAGATCATTAGAAGGTGGAATTGAAGGTTTGGTGGGGTGAGGA